GGGGGGGTACTGGGGATTGAACCCACGGATGCTTATCCACTGAGCCACATCTCCAGACCTTTTTATTTTTTAATTTGAGACAGGATTTCCCTAAGTTGCTTAGGACCTCACTAAGTTGCTGAGGCTAGCTATAAACTTGTAATCCTTCTGTCTCAGCCTCCTGAGCCGCTGGAATTACAGGCATTAGTCACTGCACCTGGTACAACTATCTTTTTTTTTAAATTAAAGACCATCAAGGATTATATTCCTCTGTCTTCCTGGGTATTAAACTTTGAGAAAGTATGAAAGACAATGACATTTTTAGTGTCCTGGCAAGAGCAAAAGACAGCAATTCCATGTTGGTCCCCTAATTCTCATTAAAAATTTTCACATTCATGGTAGTTAGAAGTCAGAACCAAACCCTAGTTTCTACACCAATATGCTTTCCTGTGGAGTCTGTTCTTCCACACCCTCTGGCACCCCTGGGGGGTGCCAGCTCTCCTTACCAGCTTCTGCGAACAGCCTCCTAAAACCTCTTGCCTTTGGCCTCTTCTCCTTCTAATCCACACTTAATATTAGTATATTGTTACTACAATATTCCAATATGACACTATTAGAACATTGTTACAGTATATTATCATCTCCCTTCCTCTACTGGAATTCAAGCTCCAGCCATAGAGAGCATAGTCTATGCATCCATGGGCTATAACCCCCCCACACCAAGTGCTCTGCCCCGTACACACAGGCATTCGGAAAATGACTGCCGAGGAAACCAATCATTTTACAGAGAAGACCCTCAAGCTCACCTTTGATCATCTATTCTCCATCTGTGCCTTCAATTCTACATTTCTACAAGAGTAAGAATTTTTTAATAAGACTAGAAGAAAAATTTGAACAAAAATAAAAATCATTCTAGTGGAAAATGACTTATCTGAATGAATAAAGAAATWAAAAAATGAATGGGTCTCAATAAACATGAAAACTATGGAATTCTATTTTCACTGAAGTGAGAGAAAATCGAGTTACAAGCACATTTGGTAGGAACCATAAGATACTCCCCAGAAGTATTTTTAGAGATTCCCTCATAGTTTCACCAGTCTCAAAAACAGAAAAAAGAAGAGTTTGAAAAAGGGTGAGAAAAAAGTATTTAAAAATTAGAGAAAATTTAGGGATTAAATGATATAATTCTGAAATATATATAYACACACACACACACACACACACACACACATAGTCTCACAAGGGGAGTCACATACTACAATAAAATAGTCTTATTAACAGTAAAGCACAGCATGAATAAAAATAAGGCATCTACCAACAAAGAGACAACTAATGACCCAATATGCTAATTTTAAGATAAGCACAGATAAAAAGAAAAATCTGAGTTACAGTAGTCTCTCTTTCTCCTCAGGAATACATTTCAAGATCCCCCTGACACCAAGGCTAATACTGAGCCCTACACATGCCAAGTTTTTCATGTACATACACACCTATGATAAAGWTGAATTTATAAATTAAGCATGCTAAGAGATTGACAACAACAACTAAAAATTAAATAGAACAATTGTAACAACATACTRTAAGAAAAGTTATCCAAAACTTGCAAATTTTTCTTTGTGCTTTTTTTCATTTAGTATTTTTGGATCATGGTTGACCTTGGGTAACTGAAAATGCAAAAAGCAAAACCACATATAAAGAAAAGCTATTGCATCAAAAGAGATAAAAATGTGAGACATATGGTCACTTTGTTTTCCAACAGGAGTCAGCAAAAGGACTTACCAACTTTTTCCCTGATGCTACTGTTTGCCTCCACCTTCAAAGCAGATGCTTCATGCCTCCCAGAGTAGAGCTGAAAGTCCGAAAAAAAGTAGCTGGTATCTTCTAGAATTTGCACAGGACTGCTGGGGCTGTAAGAGACAGGAGCGGGTGCTGGGAGGAAGAAAGTAACGTGTGTGTTAGTGCCAATCAAGTGCCCCCTCTTCCTGTGTGACTCATGACAACCCACAAGGCATGCTCCCACATTTCAACCCACAGCAGGAGTGCCCTATCTTTTTGATTCATAAAATTCCAAAGTTACTACTCAGAATTATCACAAGTCCAGCCACCCACAAAAATGACCCATGAGGTCAACACACAGTCCTCAAGACACGCTGAGCAGAAGCATGGATGCCTCAYATGTTCCAGTTCCAAGGGCAGCGGCAGCAGCACCATCCAAAGCCAAGTCCTCAAGTTCAGAATGATCAAGGAGGGAGATAGAAAGGAGAGAGATGGGAAGGCCAGAAAAGGAGAACCAAAGTGTGAAGAGCAGATATCTCTCACAACATAAACGAGCTCAAGGAAGAGGTGGTCACTTTGTCAGATGATATGCTTGCAAGAGAATGTCCCAGCCCAGTTTACTTAGGCCTCACTCAAAGATTTCAGAAGTCGTGTGCTGCAGCACGGAGCTGAGGTTCTGGAATCTGGGCCTCTGCCAAGCACTGGCCTTTCGGCTCCAGTTTCTCTGCTTCACACACAAACCAGAGTGTGCTTCCTCTTCCAATTARATGTGACACTGAACTCAGTCCTACAGCCACTGAACATGAAATACCACTACAGTGACACCGACAGTACACACAAAATATCCATGGGAACTTTCAGCAGGATGGGTCTAGCCTATTTCCTGCTCTGCAGATTTCTCTGTGTGGGCACCATGTGTAAGCCTGTTTTTAGCAAAAGTAACTTAGTTAACTCTGGAGAGTCAAACATTTTTAAAAAATTAAAATCCTTTCCCAAAGACAATTCCATTAGAAGAAAAAATGCTGTTCAGCAATCGCTTTGAACTGGTCATTTGAATTTCTTCCTAGGTTTGTTTTCTACCCATTTCCCACAACGTGAAGCTACTAGTAAGCCACTAATTATACCAAGARCTGTGAGATGGGAATGCACTGGTGGTCTTCCTGAGTTTCTTTACCTCGACAAGTGAATAGCATTTATATGTGCTCCTGAATCATAGGCACATCTGCCCTAGAAAGAAAAAAGATTTTGATAACTATTTACCTTATAAATTTAAAATAAAAACAGTTGTGACTCTCACTTTGTGAAATGACATATTGTATGAAGATAGTCTAAAATCATAGTTCAAATGCACAGGACACTATTTCTCAGTCTCTCTCTCTCTCTCTCTCTCTCTCTCTCTCTCCCTCTTTTTGTTTTGTTTTTTGTTTTTTCTTTGTTTTGCCAATCTACAAGGACTATTCCACAAAGAAACTCAAATCTTTCCTGGTCCTCATCTTCTACATCTGTATATATATATATAAATATAAATATCTGAACATCTAAGGCTAAAATCAGGATCCTAGATAGCCAGGATCCAAAGCCAAATCCTGACCTGGCTTCTGTTTTCAGGCAGGTAGAAAACTAGGGAGGTACAAGGTACAATCCTGGCTGCATGTCAAAATCTCCTGTGGAACTTTTAAAACCCGGCCTCAAACAGACCTATTCATTTGGAAGCTGGGGGTTGTGTTCAGGTATCTATAATTTATAAAGCTCTTTAAATGACCCCAATGAGCAGCCAAAGTTGTGAAGCTTTAAGCTAGGGGGAGAACGTCCACATAGAGGAACACGAACACACACACCCACACAAACACACACACACACACAAACACACACACACACACACACACCCATACACACAACACCTTTCTGTGCCTCCACCCCATTCCTCCCATCAAGTCAAAGAGGAGCTGACAGCCCATCTGCTTCAATAAAAGAAACAGTCATATTTTCTGCAGGATGAGAGATAGGGGTTAAATTTCATTTTGCTGCATATGGATTTCCAGTTTCCCTAGCACCATTGTTGAAGAGATGATCTTTTCTCCAATATATGTTTATGGTGCCTTTGTCTAGTATGAGATAACTGTATATATTTGGGTTTGTCTCTGTGTCTTCTATTCTGTTCCATTGGTCTTCATGTCTATTTCGGTACCAATATCATGCTGTTATTGTTACTGTAGCTCTGTAGTATAATTTAAGGTCTAGTACTGTGATACCTTCAGCTTCGCTTTTCTCACTAAAGGCTACTCTGGGCCTCTTATTTTTCCAAATGAATTTCATGATTGCTTTTTCTATTTCTATCTCTCTCATACCCTGCACAAAACTCAACTCAAAGTGGATCAAGGACCTAGGCATTAGACCAGAGATGTATATCCACTAGAAGAAAATGTAGGCCCAACACTCCATCATGGTGGCTTAGGAACTGACTTCCTCAAAAAGACTCCTCTCCTAAAGCACAAGAAGTAAAATCAAGAATCAATAGGTGGGATGGTATCAAACTAAAAAGCTTCTTCACAGCAAAGGAAATAATAAAGAGCATGAAGAGAAAGCCTACAGAATGGGAGAAAAATCTTTACCACCTGCACCTCAGATAGAGAATTCATTTCCAGGATATATATATATATATATAAAGAACTCAAAAAATTAACACTAAAAAAATCAAATAACCCAATTAATAAAGGGGCAAAGGAACTGAACAAGCACTTCACCACAGAAGAAATATGAATGGTCAACAGTATATGAAAAAATGTTCAACATCTCTAGCAATCAGAGAAGTGCAAACTAAAACTACACTGAGATTTCATCTCACTCCAGTCAGAATGACAATCAAGAATACAAGTAACAATAAATGTTGGCAAGGATGTGGAGAAAGGGGCACACTCATACATTGCTGGGGGGACTGCAAATTGGTGCAACCACTCTGGAAAGCAGTATGGAGATTGCTCAGAAAACTTGGAATGAAACCACCATTTGACCCAGTTATCTCACTCCTTGGTATATACCCAAAGGACTTAAAATTAATAGTGACACAGCCACATCAATGTCCATAGCAGCTCAATTCACAAAAGTTAAGCTATGGAAGCAACTTAGGTGCCCTTCAACAGATGGATAAAGAAAATGTGATATATATTGACAATGGAATATTACTCAGCCATAAAGAAAATTGAATTATGGCATTTGCCAGGAAATGGTTGGAACTGGAGACTATCATGCTAAGTGAAATAAACCAGTCCCAAAAAACCAAAGCTGAATGTTCTCACTGATATGTGGATGCTAACTAACACACAAATAAGGGRGCAGGGAGAATAGAAGTTCATTGGATTAGACAAAGGGAAATAAGGGAAGGGAGGGAGATGAGTATAGGAAAGACAGTAGAATGAATCGGATATAGCTTTCCTATTTTTAATATAGGAATACATGACCAATGAAATTCCACATCACATACAACCGCAAGAATGGGATCATAATTAGAATAAGATGTACACCCTATTTGTATAAATATATGAAAATATACTCTACTGTCATGTGTAACTAAAAAGAACAAATTAAAACAGATATTTTTTAAAAAATAGACCTGGGTCAGGAATGACATGTTGCAGCATATTACACTTTGGGTGATCCCTTCTAGTCACATGACTAAGAATTTCAAATGATAAAAGAGCAAACCTCTAATAAAATTGAGGTATGCATGTCTAAACAAATGTATATAAAGGAGAGCATAGATGTGTGGAGCTCAGATGGAGCCCTGCACTAAGCCATTCACTACCACACTGGAAGGAATTACTTTTCCCCACTTTACCCATGGGCTGCCAACTAAGAGTAGATTCAAGAGCTCTAGGGCCTCAGGACACTGAACAGAGTGGTCTCCCAATGGGCTTACACACACACACAACTCTCCCTCTCTCTCCCTCTCTCTCAGACTGAGGCACATGATGCTCAACTAGTGCCTCCTTTCTCCATTCACGTGTGGAGGCCACTGCCTCACGTTCCCACAGATGGCATCATTCCTGGATGCTGAAGAAAGGGAGGAGAGCCGAGTGGATGACCAGAACAGGCCCCTGAGGCAGGCAGGCAGGCAGGTGGCCCCGTTTTTATCACTCCACTCAAGCCAAGAGTCAGTCAGGTGAGCTATCCCAGCACCAAGGCGGCCCGAAGGAATCACACTTCTTGCTTTCTCACCAGCAGGGCAAGGAAAAGTGGCAGTACCATGTGCCACAGGATCTGCACTGCATTCCTGGGCCACGCGGRACACATCTAAGAGAGGCTGGACCCATCCTCTGCCTATTTTAGTTCACTGTCTTCCCTAGAAGCTCCTGTACCTCAAGTTGAGTCTATTTTCTTAAACCAAATGATCTAACTTGACAGGGTCAAAGATGTCTGAAATGAGAAATGAGAAGGAGAGGCGTGGTGTGAGGGGAAAGCTCTCGTCTTGGCTGGGAGTTCATAACCAGGAGTGGAGTTGTGAGAAACAACAGGAGGCCCCAGATACCACTACCACCCAGAAAGGTCCTGCAAGGCTGGCTTGGGCCCAGCCACCCAGCAACACTGCCAGTTTAGGGGGACTTCTGGCCTCTTGAGGATTCTGGGGGCTCAACAGTGTGTGGTATTATAGTGTAGATGCCCACAGGGGTGCCAGAAGAGCTATTTCCATATAAAAACGTCTCATCTTCGTGGTTAACTTACAATTATCTTCTTCCAAACCAGAACCCTGTCTGAGGGTCACCACTCACATGCCTCAGTGTGCACGGGAGGTGGCCAAAGCACCAGAGACCCAGCAGGGTCAGTGTAAAGGGTCAGCTGTCTGGGAGGGTTTCTCTGGAGGAGGGGCACCCACAGCTCCCAGGGCCCCTGCCCAGAAGGAAAGCAGAAATCTATTTGTGCTGCATTTAACATGATATTCTGAGATTTTTCAGGATTGTTGAAGGTTTAACATTTATGTTTTATATTTGACGCATTTCACCAGCTTGGCTCCTAAATGACAAAATGCACGCATCCCTTGTCAACACAGAGAATCCTGGCTCCCCTCTCACTGAGCCTGACTGCTTCTAGCTTACTGAAGAAGCAAGGAACGTTCCCCCATCATGGTTTAGACTTTCTTTGTGACTGTCCAGAGGCCT